TTTTTTTTTTTTTTTTTGGTACTGAAGATTGAACTCAGGACCTCACATTTGCCAGGCAGGCACTGTGCCACTGAACTAAATTCCTGGCCCCAACATGGACATTTTTAAGAGCTTTATTTTTCTTCCTCAGTATAAGCATGTATTTTCTTCATCAAGAAAATGGACTCTGAGCATTGTGATGTTCAACAGAAAGTGAACTGTTATAGAATAGCTTCTATTTCACATGTTGTTTTCTTCCTTCCAAAGATCATTACATTTCTTGTCCACTTGAGATCCTATCTGCTATTCCATAAATTTTTTAGCGCAGTATTTCCTGAAGTATCAGATTTAACATAATGTGATATTAAATTCACTGAAAGCAAATTGTTCACAGAGAAGCAGCTGGAGCAGCTGGATTTACTGTTTTACGATTAATACATGAGCCATCTGCAGCTCTTCTGGCTTATGGAATTGGACAAGACTCCCCTACTGGAAAAAGGTAAAACCTATATTTGCAGTTTTAAGTCTTTTTCAATGCAGAAGCATTGTAGATTATAGCAGTTACATTGGTAGTGGTTGTTATATAGTGTAGTGGTTCCCAATCTTTAAGAATGAATGATACTGAAATTCTCACCTTGAATTTGTTAAATAGTTGATAAAAAAGTGCTATGAAAGCAGAGAAAGGACATTACAGGAAGGAAGACTGAGCTTTTCTGACCTTACCTCCCTCATTTTGCCCTTTATTAGAAGAGTGGAAGGATATAGGTCTGGTCCACTTTCTGTACAAGCTAGGACACTTGATGTTGCCAGCATTTCCAGTGATTACACGTTTAGCAACAGTGAATACGATTTTGTGTGCATTTGACTTGGTAGGAGATGAGCAGAAATCCTGCATGAAGATTCAAGACTTCAGAAAACTTGACCATCAACACTGGCCTATAGATCTGATGGCTGTGAAACTTTGGAGAAATTAATTTAGATATTCTAACAATTAAAGAAATTAATATATATATCAATCTCTTAGAAATTATTGCCAGGCGTGGTGGCGCACGCCTGTAATCCCAGCACTTGGGAGGCTGAGGCAGGAGGATCGCTGTGAGTTTCAAGACCAGCCTGGGCTACATAGTGAGTTCCAGGTCAGTTTTAACTATAAAGTGAGACCCTGTCTCCAACCCCCCCCCAAAAAAAAAACAAAAACAAAAACAAAAAACCAGAAATTATTTTTAGGTAAACTAGATAAGTACAGAAATATATTATGAATTTTGATATACAGGAAGTAGGGAATTAGCTTCTAGTTTTGCATCTACAGAACATGTAACTTGCATAACTCGTAAAATACAGAATATAATAAAATATATGATGATATTTAATAATAATTTCAGAGTAGAATTTCTATATTCAGTTCTTTTAAAATTTATTATAATCACTAATCTCTTCCTGATTACTGTGAAAGTGTTTTGAACTCTGATTACTCAGACTACAGTTTTATGTGTATTTTTAGCATGACAAGATAAAGAACTTGGATTCAGAATATCTGGTTCAAAGCTGAATTTATCACCAACTCACAATAGACAATTAGTTATTTGAGAGTTTCAGTTTCCTCTTTTATAATTTAAAAGGATTAAATGATTTCTAATGTGCAACCTAGCTTAAAATGTGATTCTGTAATAAATTACACGCTTTCTCTTTCTCTTCAAGCAATATTCTGGTGTTCAAGCTTGGAGGGACATCCTTATCTCTCAGTGTCATGGAGGTTAACAGTGGGATGTATCGGGTTCTCTCAACAAACACTGACGATAACATTGGAGGTGCACATTTCACAGCAGCTTTAGCACAGTACCTGGCTTCAGAGTTCCAGAGGTGAGTATTGGCCTTGGTGATGCATTTTGTTTTGTTTTGAGACAGGGTCTCACTCTGTAGTTGAGACTGGCCTGTAACTCATTATGTAGCCCAGGCTGGTCTAGAACTCACAGTGATCCTCCCGCCTCAGCCTCCTGAGTGCTGGGGTTACAGGCGTGTGCCACCACGCCTGGCATTGGCAATGCATTTTGATTGAGATTTCCTGTTAAGTTTTGTTTTTGCTTTTTTCCTAATATATTTGGAAAGTGGATATTTTTACCTCTGATGTTATAATGTCCTAGGAAGCAGAGGCCGGGTTGCCCAAACAATGTGTGGAATTTTCCTTTAGTGCAGGAAGTTCATCAGCCACTGAACTACATGAACTTGGAAGCTCAGTGCTATTTTTTTCTCTTTAATCATCATGGATTGCTCTTTCAGTGTTTCTTTTTTGCATGGTACAGAGAATTGAACCCAGGACTTTTGCACTGCACTATATTCTTAGCCCCTTAAATTTTTGAGACAAGGTCTTGATAAGTTTCCCTAACTGGGCTTGAACTTGTAATCCTCTTGCCTCAGCCTCCCAGAGTGCTGGGATACAGGCATGAACCACTATGCCTGGTGATGGGTTGCTTGTTTGTCTACACAAAGAGGTGGTATAGGCATTGGGACCTCACTGCCTTCTGAACAATTTAAAATTTTTGGACCTGATAGAATTATGTTATCATCTTGTTCCAGTGAGTTAATGTCTTCTTTGTTTTGTTTTGCTTTGCTTTTGGTTTTCCTGAGACAAGGTCACGCTATATAATTCAGGCTGGCCTTGACCTTACTGTATAGCCCAGGCTGGCCTCAAATCTGAAGTAGTCCTCCTGCCTCAGCCTCCCAAGGGGTGAGAAACATCATTGATGTGTTTTTTTCCATGAGGAAAATGGGGTGATTTCCCTTGAAAACGCTGAACATTGATCTCAGCATCATGACCATTGAGGAAAGATTCATATCCTGTGATGGCATTTCTTTTGTTTTTAATTGGTACATTTTAGCAATATATGATAACAGAAGTAACTTTTGCTTCAGTTGTCACATTCACAGCAGTCTTCACACATGGAAACTGCATGCCGCACATACAAATTTTGCTTACACTGGTAGCATATATGTTTTGCTTTTCTGTTCTTTATGGTTGGGCACAGTTGACAACTTTTTGATTATCCTGTTGTTGTAGTAGGTCTTTGTGATGCTGTGCCTGCCTGTTCAGCTCACCAGTGGACTCTACAATTTTTTGTGTAATTCTCTGGGCAGAAATACTCTGGCTTTAAATAATCTCATGCGTTTCAGTCCTAATCCTCTTAAGAAAGTTTCTTTGTGGTATTTTGCACTTACTATTTTCTTTGTAAACTATCAAACTATTTATACCCCACATGCTTAGGATCAAATAAAACACATCCATTGGCCAATACTTTGTGTTTTGAGTGACATAGTTGCTGCATAACTCATAGTTACTGCGTAACTCATCAATATGTCCTCTGCCTTTGGTTTTGTTGTAGAAAGTTTCCATCTCAGGCTTCTATTTTGTTGAGATTTCCCGATCAGTATTTCCATCATGAAATGTTTGTTGACAGCAGTACTAGTTTGTTTTTCTTTGCCATATCTGAGGTCATTGTAAATCTTTCTGAAATCCAAAGATTGTACTGTATAATTTATGTTTTGAATTCACAGCATTTCACTTGGAATTTTTGCTTTGTTACTGTGTACAGTTCCTACTCTTGTCAACTTGTGCTGTGTTAGCAAATGAAACATTGGTTGGAAATTGGTAAACCAATTGTCCGATGTCACTTTCTGATTAGTTTCAGAGATGGGAACAACAAGTCTGTTCACAACATCTTTCAATTTATTACTATTCAAATAAGGACTTGGTGGCTGAGTTCCAGGATAAATTTCTAAATTGAAAGCATAAGTCTTCTAATCTGTAAGGGCATACATTTTTATGTCATATTTTGATCCATTGCTTTTAAGTATTTTACTTTCCTGTGATTATCATGGAAATGCCTGCTAAGGACAGCAGACCTATGAATGCTTTTAGCTCAGCTAGTGAGATGTCACAGTTGTGGCTATTGGTACAGACAGAACATTTTACGTGGATTTCAGCCTTTGTGTATTTCAAAACGTTTTGTAGCATTTCGTCTTTTACAATTTCTAACACTGAATGCCAGTGCTGGCATTCTGTCTGGTAGGTTTCACCCCTGCCAAGATCCTCGCTATACTTTTGGACCTAGTTCTAACATTGGATTATTCCATTTGGTTGCATGACCATTTTGCAACATTTTGACTAGTCAAATGTGCACTCCAATTGCTGTTTCTTCATCATCTGAATCAAGGAGGTCTGCATTCCCTGTGTCTGTATCAGCTGATTCTTGCTCCATTTCCCTCTCACAGGAAATTTGGCTCACATGGCCAACATCAAAGTCACTATGGATCATCCATGCATGAATAATCTGATGATTCACTTTTGACCTCCTCTAAAACTTGCAAATCTGGTTTTTTATGTGCCATTGTACTGAATTGGGTTGCTTTTATTAGAAATATCAAAAAAAACTTTAAAAAGCCCCAGATTTAGCACTGAGTATGTAAAACTGTTGCTACTTTGGAGCTCCTGTACACACCTTGCTGTTCATCTGGGTTCAAGTGGATGAAGATACAAATGGGTTTTTCCTTTCCCCAGATGCAGCTACTGTGAGTCACACCCAGATTCCCTTATGATAAAATAGATATTTTCATAACAGAAGAGTGGTGTTGAGTGTATTTTACTCCTTGTGATGCTTGGGTAAATATACACAAAACTTGTTAGATGGAGCATTATGTAGGTAAAAATCCTGGTTTGACACTTTGCACACGTGCATACACCTTAGTCTTCATCATATCAAGTGGATAAACATAAAGATTGCTTCCGGGCCGGGGATTTAGTCCAGTGGTTCCACCACCTGCCTTGCAATTGCAAGGTCCCAGGTTCAATCTCTGGTACCAGAAACAAACAAACAAACAAACATAAAGATTGCTTCCTGTATCCCCCAGGCACAGCTACTGAGATTCACAGCTAGCTACTATTGTGCTAAAGTACAGATTTTTAGTAGAAAAGTGTGGGATGGGTTGTTGTAGACCAATGTTATGCCCTCCAGGCTAAAATAATGTAGTTGAAATAATACTCTTTATAAGATTGATCAAACATTTTGATTAAAAACTTGAAAAACGTGTTTTCTCACTTATTTTAAGAAAGACCTATACTGCTTTTTATTACAAAGGTGTTGTTTTAACAAAGCAAATGATCGTTACTTAGCCAACAGTTTTAAAAATTAACAAACATTGGAGATAGAACTTTAATTTTGCATATTTTGTATGTGTCAATGAAGGAGCACCTTTAGGTTTTTTTAAATTTATTTTTTAGTGCTTAACAGATGATTTTAGACCACTGAAGAGTGATTATGCTACAATTGTAAAGACTGAGCTAAGAGTCTGCCTCAGTTCCGTAAGTTTCCTGTAGTCTGTGTTTATCTCACAAAGAGGTGATAGCTATTTTATATTCTTCAAAATACAATCTATTATTATCGTTAAATAGTTCAGCAATTGAAAGCGATAAGTAAATTAGTTACTCATTTTTATTGAAGGGACTATCCTTTTAATTGCAGAGAATATTCTTAGGAAAATGTAGGACTAGAAAGCCAAGTGCTAATATCTGGTGTGTAATATTGAGGCATGAATTTATTGTCTTAATGAGGATTATTCAGATTTTAGTTTCATGGATTTCTAAGTAACACAGTAATTTTAAACTTCAAAAGCTGTACTTTTTCATTTAGATCCTTCAAACATGATGTCAGGGGAAATGCCCGAGCCATGATGAAATTGATGAACAGTGCTGAAGTTGCAAAACATTCTTTGTCAACCTTGGGAAGTGCCAACTGTTTCCTTGATTCATTATATGAAGGTCAAGATTTTGATTGCAATGTATCCAGGTAAAACTGAAGTTCAAGAAATGCTAAAATATTCCAGGAGCACCTTATATAAATGCAATTTTCTTGTCTTGGGATTGTTTGAGATTTAGTAAATATGTACAAGGGGAGTGTTATTGTCTTTTGGGGTCCACATTTTTGTCAGATTAATTGTTCCCCAAATAATTAGTTATGATTGCCTTGCTAATTTAGGCTGTAATTAGCAGGGTTAAAGAAAGATGAGATGGGATTTGATTTCTTTTTCTAAATTGCAGTGATACCTCTTAAGTTCCTAGTTCTTGTTGCATAGGTTTCATGTGGGCTTTGGTCATGTTTCCATATCCCTTAATATACTAGTTCATATTGCGTGGCAGGCCATATTTTAAGTATTTTTTTTTCTATTTTGTGATTGAATCCTAATATCTTCCCTGTGAGGTAAGTACTAGTATCATCCTCTTTTTATACACATACAAGTAGAAATGGAGGTTTCATTACTTGCCGAAGGTCACGCAGGTAGTAAGTGGTGAACCTTCAGATAAATCCAGGCAGTTTGATTTCACAGTAGATCCTATTTAACTATTGCACTTTACTAAAGATTGACGTCTAACTTGTTTTGGGTTGTTCTGTCCAACATCATCAATGTTTTATGTTTTAAAAGCTTTTATGGCAGATGTATATGCAGAAAATAGTTTTTAATAGCTTTACCTTTGTGTAATTCAAGATACTACTTACAAGATAGAGTGTTGCTACACTGTTCCCCAGAAAGTAGAAATACAGGACAGCTGGACATTGCCCTAGGCTTTTGTTTCATATCTTCTAAGAATAAAAACAACTGTCTTTCTTTACCCAATTGGAGCTTCCCAACAATCTACCAGATAAATTTGAAACAGCCATACTTTAAAGCATTGCAGAATTACATTATTTTTAGGACTCTGTGCATTGGGCTACCTTCTCTTTCCGTCTTTCCCTTAATTGAACTTTTTCACTTTCCCTGGGCTTCCTGAGGTGTCTACATCTGCAGCTGCCCAGTACAGTAGCCATTAGTTACTCCAGGCTATTCAAATTTAAATTAGCATAACATAAAAAAGCAGTTTAAGTACTATACTCCGTAGTCTTAGGTAATTGGTGGCTGGCAGAAAGTTCTGTTGGACAGCTGCTATAACTCTTTGAAGAAAGTACTTGAAGCTCCAGTCCCAAAGATAGAAAAGGTGAATTGGAATCTCTTGGTGGACTGAGTATCTTTATAGTTTTCTATTTCTAGAATATGTAGTATGATCAAAAAACAGTGGATGTTTAAATTGGAAAAATGGATTACAGTAAAGAGTGCCACTAATTCCCTTAAATACCCCCCCTTGCTTTGAGCACACTTATCCAGTCACTCTTTTTGCTTTCTAAAGCAGTTCTGGAAGCCTTGTTTAGCGAGTGCCTTTAGGTGCACTTTTGTAGTTGCCCTCATGTTCAGAAATGAGTCAAAATGTTTCCTTTCTGTGGTCATTTTCACTTTGGGGAAGAGCCAGAAGTTGCACAGTGCAAGATCCAATAAGGTGGATGAAACCACACCATAATATTTTTATGGTACAGAAATTATTATGCCAGAGCTCACTGGTGTGTTCCTGAGTACAAGCTCAGCTTACACAGTTCCATCAAGGTCAAAAAACATATCAAAATCATTGATGTGATTTTTTCCACGAGGAAAGTGAGGTGATTTTCCTTGAGAACTCTGAACATTGATCTCAATATTGTGACCATAGACAAAAGATTCATCTCATGTGATGACATTACTTTTTTTTAGTTGGTACATTTTAGCATTTTAGCAATATATGATAACATTCATCATAGGGAATTCTTATATATATCTTACCATAGACAAAAGATTCATCTCATGTGATGACATTACTTTTTTTTAGTTGGTACATTTTAGCAATATATGATAACATTCATCATAGGGAATTCTTATATATATCTTTTTTTTCCCTTTCTCCTCCATTACTTTCAACCCCTCTTCCTTCCTTATTTACAAAAGCTTTGTTTCTATTTTTTCCCTTTTATCCTTTTTTTTTCCTTCTTATCTCTTCTTTTCATTCCCCCTCCCCCTTGCCTTGTTCCCCTTCTCGTTTGAACATTTTGGTCCTTATTTACACTTCTTATTTCTCAGACCAGAGAAACAATGTAGTATTTCCATATGTGTCCAATTTAATTCACTTGAGTATGGTCTCAAGGTCTCCTGTTTATCCTTCTTTATGACACAATAATACTCCATTGTATTTTTTTTAAATGCATCATCTTTGTCCATTCATTGGTTTGTGGACATTTGGGTTATTTCCAAAATTTTCCTGTTAACAGACTTCCATAGTAAACATGAATGTGCATTTATTGCTGTGCGATATGATGCTTTTAATTCTTTCAGGAAGATACGAAGAAGGGGAATAGTTAGGTCAGATGGAGCCTGTTGTTTTAGTTTTTTGAGGAATCTCCACACTGGTTTCCATAGTGGTTGTACCAGTCTACACTTCTCACCAACAGTGGAGAAGAGTACCTTTTTTCCCAAAGCCCCTCTAGCATTTGTTACTCGTTGATTTCTTGATAATAGCCGTTCTTTCTGGAGTGAGACACAGCTTCAGCATTGTTTTAATTTACATCTCTCACATGACCAGTGATGTTGAACACTTTTTTTATATATTTATTTGCCATTTTTACTTTTTCATCTGAGAAATGTCTATTCATTTAAGGTGCCCATTTTTGGATTGGGTCTTTAAATTTGGGGGAGTCTGATTTTTTTTTTTTTTTAGTTCTTTGTATATTCTAGACATTCATCCTTTAAGGAAGAGCTGGCAAAAGAATTTTTTTCCTTTCTGTGGATTGTCTCTTTGTTGGTGGTTTATTTTGTTGTGCAAAAGCTTTTTAGTAAGATGAGATCCCAGTTGTTGATTCTTTGTGATAGTTCCTGTGCAATCAGGGTTTTCTTCATAAAGTCTTTGCCTATACCAATGTCTTCAGTAGTCCTATCTATTCTTAGTGTTTTTAATATTTCAAACATTGATCCAATTTTGGGTTTTTTTTGTTTTGTTTTGTTTTGTTTTGTGTTTTGAGACAGGGTCTTACTATGTAGTTGAGACTGACCTGGAACTCATTATGTAGCCCGGGCTGGTCTTGAACTCAGAGCTCCTCCTGCCTCAGCCTCCCAAGTGCTGGGATTACAGGCGTGTGCCACTGTGCCCGGTTTTGGTCTTTTTTTTAATAAAGTGGAGTTTTAATCATAAAGAATGACAAACTAGAGACATTTGTAGCTAAATGGATGGACCTTAAGACCATATTCTTTAAGTGAAATAAATAGGATACAAATGGACAAACACAATAGGACACAATAGGACACAAACACTGAATTATTTCTCTGGTGTGAGAACCTGAAAGTGTAAATGAGGACCAAAATATATAATTGATATTGTGAAATAGGAAGAAAAGATTCAAAGGGGAAGGGGAACTGGGAAGAGATTTGGGGGGAAAAAAGAGGAGAAAAGAAAATAATGGGCCTTTACATTACAAACTACAGTACTCTGAAAAGGAGGTTGAAGAGGATACAGAAAATAGAAAGACATCCCTTGTTCTTGGATAGGTAAAACCAATATAGTAGAAATGGCCTTACTTCAAAAGTGTTACACAGATTTAATGCAAACTCAATAAAAATATCAATAGCATATCTCACAGATATGTAGAGAAAACATTTCTACAATTCATTTGGAACCAGAAGAGACCTAGAATAGCAAAAGTAATTCTGGGCATCAAGGGCATGGTCAAGGCAGAAGGCCTCACAATCCTTGATTTGAAGTTGTAGTACAAAGCTACTATGATAAAAACAGCATGGCACAAGCAGAAAAAAGAAAACAAATCTTTTCTAAATAGGAAGGGATGGAGGGGTTGAAGGGAGGAAAGGGGAATGGGGAAAAAGCAAGAACCATGATATACTATGAAGAGGTACAAATTCCTAATGATGAATGTAATCATAATGTACTTAAAATGCACCAATAAATTTAATGAATTAAAGACCAGATGGGTAGCTTTCAAGTTGTTCTACCTTGTTGCCCCCTGGGTTTTTCTTTGGTGAGCTGAAAGTGGGAAGTTGCATCTTGCTTAAGTGGTTCTCATTTTCTAGTTTTTGAGTTGGTTCTTTTATGCCGGGGGGGTTGATACTTATAAATTACTTATGGCAGTTAGCTTTATTGCTAGCGTTTAGAACTCTTAGGAAGTGACTCTTCTCAGAGATGTCTTCCAGGTGTAGCAGGCTTTTTGGTTTTGAGTCTGTTGCAAGATTCTGCTTCTTCAGTTTACTGGGATGAGAAGTTGCTGGCTGTTTGTCTTAATCCCTGGTTCTTTGGCACTGGCTTATGGTCTCACCATGCCAGGCAGAACAAGTGATTAGAATAATTATGTCACTTTGGCTAAAGTAGTTCAAGCAGCAATAATAGCATCAAACAGTCTAAAAAGTGACAAATTGTGGCAACTATGAATTTGTCACCTTTAACTGTATAAACTATCTTTATGGTTATATAACAAAATCTCAAATGAACCAGAAAATTGTATACAGTAAATATGCCCTCAGAATGTCAGTTTTACCCTCAGGGGAGGAAATTTAAAAGGGGTTGAGGGGGAATGGAGAAATAGAAGAAGAAATTAGTAGCAAAGCTGGAGGACAAAAGAAGATGTGAACTTTGGGAAACAGGTGAAGAAGACAGGAAGGAAAGAAAGAAGGGAAAATAAAAAGAACAGAATAGAACAATAATGATTTAAAAAGCTAGAAACACTGTTCACACTCATACAAAAATAAGAACAATCAAGAAAAAACAAAACCAAGAATAATAAAAAGAAGAAAAGAAAATGTGCCCTTTAGGATATGTCTGTACTGCACTGGTAGAGTGGACAGAGCCCGGATCTGCAAGCCTGCACTTTTAGTTCCACTGATGTTTAGGCTGGTTTCTGGCTGTGAGGCTGGAATTTGATTTGTTCAGCCTACAACACTCCTTATGTGTGCCTCCTGCTGACTTGATTTTGGTCCCTGCTTGAATTCAGCTCCTTGACCTCCCAACCCATTTAAAATCGGTTCTCCTCTGACACTGGGAGCCACTAGATGGAGCCAGCCTGCAGCTGGTCGTGACTTTCAAGCTCATGGGCCCTTCTTCAAATGGCTACCAGCCAATAGCTCTTTCCTGGAGGATGTCTTGAGGAAACCAGCCACTGCAGACTGCTTCCACCACTGCTACGTTGCACTGGTGCATTTCTCCTTGGAGGCCTCTGGGGTTATCAGTAGTCAGTGTGCATCTGCAGGTTCAAGCCACCCTTCCTATGCAGCAAATCAAAGCTCAGGAAAAAAGCGCCGCTTGCTGCCACCTCCTTTTACATTGAGGTCTCTCTTCACTGTCTCCGTAGGCTTCGTTTCTCACTTCAAATCCTTGCTGGGTCTTGGGGGCCCACTTCCCTCTTCATGTTGCTAAGTTCCATTGTCTGGATACCAAATCTCAGACAGTGTTTCTGAGCTGTTCACCACTCCAACGTCTTCCCAGAAGTCCCATGATGACTTTTCTTAAGAAGCTGGAATCTCAAGTGGAACCATTGTACAACTCCAGTGAAACTGAAAAAAATATCATGTTATTGCATTGTTAATGATGCATGTTTTTATGGCACACTTTAAACACACCTTCTCTCAATCACCAAATAGTCATAGCTCACAGACTGCACCAAATAAGTTGAAACTTGTCACACACTGTTACTGAGGTTCAGTGTGCCTTTTTGTTGATACACAGCAATAATATCACTGTATTTTTTTTATTACACTGCATATCTTAGTACTGAATTTATCCAAGTACTCAGTCTGTGTTGTTAGTATCAGTAAGAAGAAAATGAATTTTTCTTTCCTCCTTCCCTCCCTCCCGTCTTTCTCTCTGCCTCTCTCCCCCTCCCCCTCCCCCT